AAAAAAAAAAAAAAAAGATACACATAAAAAAAATTATTTTCCATAACGATGCGTTAAATTATTATTCTGTTCCCACGATAGTCGACTCTACGTAACCGGAAGGAACCCGGATTTTTAACATTTTTAGCCGGCCAAGCACTGTCAACTCGACACATTTCAGCCGCTACAACAATAGCAACCACAACAAGCAGAAAATTATTATGCTTCCGTCAGCCTTGAAATATTGTGCGAATATATGACTGCAGAAAACGTATATAAATTTCTTTAAGAAAAAACTTAATTATTTTTTAATAGTCTACAATTCGTTAATATTTTTTTAATTGTCTATAATTTATAAATAATTTTTTAATAATAATTATTATTTAATGATGCAATTAAGTACTGATTGAAATTGTGTGAAGAATTGTGATTTTTGCACGTGCATTCGTAGATAGTATGTATGTATTGATAAATGAACGGTTTGTTTGCAGCGAAGCCAAGATAACCTTTAAAGCTAAATTTCTAACAGCATTATTAGGGTATGAAAGGATGGTTAACTGGAATTCTATCGTTCGATTTTTATGGCAGCTATAGGCTACAGTAAAAACCTCCCCCATAAATGCAAGGAAAATTGTCGGGGACACAATACTTAGCACAACAAAAGCCTGTCAAAAATTAATGCCCAAGGCATCCCACAGCAAACATAAAACAACAGTTTATTGATGGACTGAAAATATCGCCCAACTCAGACGTACATGCCTCTGTCTTTGCAGATCCTACACGAGACCCAAGCGCACAGGAACCGCATCCCGAGAAGCCGATCAATACAATGTAGCAAAAAAGGAGCTGAGGCTCGCCATTGATGATAGCAAAAAGAAAAAATGGGAGAAACTAACCATGGATATTAACAAAAACCCCTGGGGACTTGTGTATAAAATACTAATGAAGAGAAAGACGTTGTGCAAGCAAATCCACTTGACTTAAACGCTGCCAAAATGGATCAAATCGAGAACGCGCTCTGCTCCACATACGAAAAAAGCGCTTGCGTGTCAGAATATGCCCTAAGATTTCCCCAAGTTCCCCAATTTACCGTCGAAGGGGTGCAACTAGCCACTGGCAAGCTCAATATCAACAAAATAATTGCTGCGGAGTGTCCGGTAGTACTACTGAACATGTATAACGATTGCCGAATATTCTCTGAATCCTGAAAAAAGCAACGCCTGGTGTTAATCAGTAAGGGAAAAAGACTTGCCATCAGCATACCGTCCACTATGCATGCTTGACACAGCAGGAAAACCGTATGAAAGGCTACTTAAACCCAGACTCGAAGCGGCTTTCAATGAAGACTTTCCCCCCCAGACAGCAGGGCTTTAGACCCGGCAGATCAACTCTAAGAGCTATAACATGCGTCATAGAAAGTGTAGAAGCCGCACAGCGTAGATCATGCTGCTGACGAATTTTGATGTTCGAAACGCCTTCAACAGCGCTAGATGGGTGCATATGATCTAAGCTTTAGACAAGCTTTGGACTCTGCTCGTCATGCGGATCTTTTAGGTATATGTACTCGTATTTTATAGTGTCTACGACGTTATCTGCTGGGTATTAGAAACTTTTCTTCTTACTGTTCAGGGCATAAAATCTTTGCATATGAAATCAAGTGAATTTTTTATGACCTGTTAATGCCAAATATTTACCTAGCACGTTAAAATAGCACATATACTATGTCTGTATATAGTCTGTGTAATTATATGTGTAATAAATATATAAATTAATAACATACAGTTACAATATATACATATCTACAGAATATAAATGACCAATGGGTGTGCATTAGCGCACTGACTTACTGCCGCTCAGCGCAATTAACTTATATTCAACACGTAAACTAACATTTAACTAACGCTGACGCTGGCCACAAGTGATGTATGTACATATGTATGCATATACGGTACATATATGCGCCCACATTCCGGTCTTTTGGTCATATATTTATGAGTTGTGCGAATCCTGACACTTTAGTCCTGTCCGAATGATTGAACCGGAAGGTGCCGATAGTGGCGCAAAATTTTTCTGTTTCTTTTTTTTTTGGCTGGAATGGTTGGACAGTAATGACGGTGTGCACAACATGTAAAATAACGGTTATTATATACAGACAGACATGTGATTTGCATGCATAAAGGCATTAGAGAGGAGAGCGTATAGTGAAATATATAAGTTAATGGCGCAAAGTCAGTGGGGAAAACCACATGAACTTACAAACAAATAAACAGTTATGTAGTCATATGCATATGTATGCATGTATGTATATACACATGCAATTGAAATATTTGCGAAATCCATAGATCTAAAACTCTATCAGTCACACAGTGTGGCTGACATTGATTTTGTGGCTTTGTGGCTTTTGTGGCCAACTAACTCGCAATAGTCGCAACCGCAAACTGCAGACGACGATGACAACGAGCACGACAACAACGACAATGTCTGTTGGCGGAAATCGAATCATACACGACTTTGAAACTAAAGTAACAGGATGTCAGCTTCAAGTGAATGCTTGCCAAGTGTAATGTGTGCGGTTCTGTGCTGAAGGACATTATCCTCTCATACATATACATATGTGCACGTGGGTGTGTGTATGCCAGTTATTAGTCGTGTGTGTTTACTTGAAGCGGCACTATTATGTGCATATTTAATCTGTAGAAAATTGTCATAGTTTTGATTGCAATGGACACTCGATCAGAAATCGATTGACAGCGGGAAATTGCAGCCGAACATTCAAATGCGCATACATACAGACAGACAGCTAAACATATCGATGCGAGCGCAATTAGAATGGCAGTCATTAGAGTAAAAAACGATTAGTGGCACGAAAAAAAAAATAAAAATAATAAATAAGAAAAAAAAGAAAAAGACAGAAATAACAACAAATCGAAAAAGGAAAAAATTAAATAGCAAAAAAAAAAAACTAATTAAATAGAAACTGAACTATAAAAAAAAACAGCCATCGCTCGTTAATATGGGCTGCTCAACTTCTACGCCAGCCGTCAGCGAAGCAAACAGCAAAAGAACCTTGTCGGCTAACAAAGTCAGTGACAACGCCACGGATTCGAAATCGAAAATGGGTGATCAAGCAAATAGTGGTGAAAAGGATACATATCGTAAGTAAAATTAATATACACGTATGTATGTACATACAAACAAACATACATACATATATATTAAAAAAACAAAATGCATGCATATACATAATATTTTTACTAAAAATAAATACAAAAATACTTTAGAAAAAATACAAAAATACATTTTTATAACAAAATAAATACATACATAAGTACATTTTATAAAAAAAAATAGTAAACAATAATGTTAAAAAAATAAAAATTCATTAATAAACACATACATACATACATATTACAAAATGCATGTATAATTTTTTGTACGAAAAAAAAACATAAATAAATTTTTTATAACAAAATAACGCCATAAGTACATTTTATAAAAACAATACATACATATGTACATATATACTAATATTTACACCTAGCAAGGATGTGTGCGGTATTTTGCGAAAATAATTTAGAAAATTTAAAATTTTAGGCAAAAAAATTGCTGTGAAAGTGAGAAAAGCGATATTTGCATTACAAAACAATTTCAAATATTTGCGTAAATTATAATTTCTTAGTTAAAAATGCATTTTATTTTAAATCAATAATTTCAGCATACATGTCTGTGTAAAAATTAAAAAAAAAACATTAATTTACGTTACGTTTATATAAAAATAATTAAAATTTTAAATTGCTCATTTTTTTTTTTTACATATGTATGTAAATGAAACAAAAAAAGTTTTCAATCAAAATTTTAATAAAATTAAAAAATCAATTACGAATATTTTTTAAATTTCAAATTGCTTAAAAAAGTATATTATATAAATAAATAATTTAAGAATTTTTTGTAATAATAAACTTTTGCCTTTGTAAAAATCTTATTTTGATAAAAAAATAAAAAAATTGTATGTACTATTTTTTATTATTGAAGCAAAACTTTTAAATTTTAACGAAATATAAACTAATTAAGTGCTTTATGGCACTCCAATTCTATCCAAAGCAACCACAAAAATAATTATAAATGACTGTTGACTGTTTTGAGAAAACTATTATTTTTAGCTAAACAAATTTAATTGAAATAGATTTATAAATTTTAACTGCAAAAAAATTGTTGTTTCCATAAAAAAAATATTTATTCAAAACATTAATTTATTAAGTTTATTATAAATAAATGAGTTAAGTACTCTTTCGGAACACCGATTGATTTTTCGTCAAAGCTATTTAAGCATAAAGTTTTATGGTTTAAATTACAAAATTACAGAAAAAAGTAAAAATTAGCTATATACAAAATTTAAATTAAAACTCGCAAAAATTGAATTTAGAAGAAAAAGTTAGTGTTAAAAAAAATATTTATTTAAAATTTAAAGAATTAGTTAAGTGCTTTTTCGGAACTACATAACTGTTAATTGAGGTGCAAAGCGTCAAAGATAGTTCAGTAACAAGTTTTATATTTTATATGACAAAATTATTGAAAAAAATAAAAATCTGCAATATATATTTATTTTGTTTATAAATTTTAAATGTTAGTTTTAATAAATTTAATGTGCTGGCTCAAAATACAAGGCAGACAATAAAAACCATTAAATAATTCGTTGAATAAGAAAAAAAACAAGAAAAACGTTAACTTCGTCTGTTCCAAAGCTATATACCCTTCCCAAGTGTATTTTTTATAGCATAAAGGGCATATAAAAGAAAAATAGGAAGAATCCAAGTACAGTTTATATGGCAGCTATATGCAATAGAAGTCCGATCCGAATAATTTCTTCGCAGATTGTACCGTTACCTCTAAAAATTACGGTATGTCAAATTTCGAACAGATAGCTTGTCAAATAAAAAAGTTTTCCATACAAGAACTTGATTTGGATCGGTCAGTTTATATGCCAGCTATATGCTATAGTAGTCCGATCCGAATAATTTCTTCGTATATTGTAGCTTTAGCTTTTATAATAAACCGTGCCAAATTCCGTGAAGATATCTTGTCAAATAAAAAAGTTTTTCATACAAGAGCTTGATCGAAATCACAAAAATTGAAGGAGTAGTACGAGTATATAGAGGCGGACAGACAGATGGGCAAGATTAAATCGATTCAGGTTATACATATATAAATAATAAATACATTATAATAACGACATTTCCTTATGAGTACTACAAACTTCGTGGCACACTTAATATGTTCAGGCTATAAAAAAAACCTAGACGGCATATAATTTTTTTTGGAAAAATTATGTCAAATATATATATATATATTTTTTTTTTTTTTGATAATTTAAGCAAATACACATTATTTATTAATATTTATTTTTGCCTTTGCAAATTTTATACTCCGCATTTTTAACCTACAATATAAAAAAAATCTACCACATCTTCATATTCTTCATTTCCAGCCGCTTCGGAGGCCTATATAATACCGTTAAGCGATGATGCCGAGACGAAAGTTTACACCGCAGGCGCCCCGGAAGCGGAGGACCTACTCGCTGCTACAGTGAAAAAGCAACCACCAAAACGCATACAAGAATTGATGGAACAAGCGGCTGAAAATGAGACGGCCACGCTAAATCTCCAAGATTTGGAGGAGAAACTCGAAAAAGCAGAGGAGCGGCGCAAGGAATATTTGCAACAAAAAATTACTACTATACAGAAGACAACACAATTGCTGACACGCAGCGGCAGCAAGGAGCTCTTAGATAAACTGGAGGCAACACAAATATTTGATGGCAAGGCAGCAGAGAAAGACAATCTAGACGACAAAGAGGCGGAGAAGAAGTAACTATTGTAGACTTAAAACTAACTTATATTACAATCGTACGCATATGTATATGCGGTATAAGTAAATAATTATATACCAATTATGAAATAAATTGTGTTTTAAGAAATATGCGCCTAAAATGCTGCTTGAAAAATAAAATATTAGTTTTAAAATAATTTAGAGCTGTTTTTCATAATTTCGTTTTTCAAAACTTACCTTTTAAGCAACAATTAGTTAGATTTAAAAGTGAATTTGCAATAATAAAAAATAAAAAATTAAATTTGTCTGAAACAATTAAAATAAAAAATAGTGAAAAAAGTTTTCCGTTTAAAAACATGAAAAACTTCTTTAGTTTTTTCTTGAAAACTATTTTTTTTAGTAAATTATTTCAAAATATGTATAATTTATATGAAACATAAACGTTTACTAATATTCCGAATAAAATCTTATCGTAAGTAAAATTAATATACACGTATGTATGTACATACAAACAAACATACATCTGTCTCTTATACACATCTAGATGTGTATAAGAGACAGGAGTCATCTCCGCCAATTTAAAAAAGTGTGTGTT